AGACAATCGTTTTTAATAATTAGGCTTAATTTTGGTGTTTAGTCATTAAATCATGTCCGACTCTTTGTGACCCCATGGACCAGAGCACGCCAGGCTCTCCTGTCTTCCACTGCCACCCGGAGTTTGGTCAAATTCATGTTGGTCTTTTCCAGGGAGTTTTCTCTTCTCATGAGATGGCCAAAGTATTGAAGCTTCAGCTTCAGGATCTGTCCTCCCAGTGAGCACTCAGGGTTGATTTCCTTCAAAATGGATAGGTTTGAAACAACAATGTAACATTTAAAACTATTTAATTTTGAAAGAAACTGAAAGAAACTTGCACACAAAACAAACCAGAAATAAACAGAAACATTAATTTCTAAGGTATCACTTACTCATCTACTTTCAGCATAAGTTAGTCTAGTATTAAAGAGAGACTCATAATCATGATCTTATAATCATACACTTAATTTATATCTAGTCAAAACTGGAGGGTCATAGCATGCTTCAGTTTGCTTCATTTGTTCTCTAGAGATTAGCTCCAAATAGTCAAGAAAAGGAGCCCATGATGCCTAGTATGAATACAGATGTCTGTACCTGGAAACATGCCCACAAATATGCTAAGCAAAGTATCTGTAATTTGTTTTCTTTTAATAAAGATAATTAAAAGACACATTTCCTTAAATTTATTACATCTGGATTAGAAAACAGGGGAGATGTTGCATTCCATTATAGGTTTCTTTTACACTTCTGTGCTAAGTATAAAATTCAAAGCAATGCTCAGTGCTGTGTGCATTACATGATTAATTTTGATACAGTGGTGCCTCGCTTAACGAATGCCTCGCTTAATGAGGAAATCGCTTGATGATTAGGTTTTTGCAATCGCAAAAGCGATTGCAAAACAATGGGGAAAATCCGCTTTATGATGATTGGTTCCCTGCCTCGAGAACCAATTTTCGCATTACGACATCTAAAAACAGCTGATCATCGGGTTTCAAAATGGCTACCGGCTGTACAAAATGGCCTTTCGCTGTTTTCTAGGATGGATTCCTTGCTTCACAGGCAGTGAAAATGGCCTCCCCTATGGAGGATCTTCGCTGGACGGTGAGTTTTCAGCCCATTGGAATGCATTGAAGGATTTTCAATGTGTTTCAATTGGCTTTTTTATTTCACTTAATGAGGATTTCGTTCTACAGCTGGAATGGATTATCCTCGTTAAGCGAGGCACCACTGTATATGGTTCTTCCAGAAGGTTTTACAACTTACCTCTGTGGGGGGCGCATGAATAATTTGATAAAATGTTGCCTGGTTCTTTCTAAAATTCATCTTTATTCTGTAAATCAACTTGCTTTAAAAAAAATCAATAAGCTTCTGTTTGAAACATCTTACCGACCATTATAGGACTGTATTGAAATAAACATGGATTGTGGCTGAAGTAGAACACTCTGATCTTGAGTAGATCTGGGAATGCTAGAACAACCAACAAATTACTATGATAAGGCCATAGAATGCACTCATTATGAATACAAAGCCCCAGAAATGCAGCTGACTTGAAACAGCAGAAAAGGTGTGTTTTGAAATGAGCTTGAAAGACCTTGGTAACAAGAACAAATGGATTTGTATTCACATAAGCAAGAATTCAATTTAATTCCTCATAAAAAGGTAGCCAATTTAGCACTGCTAAAAGAACACCAGAAATAATGACATACACAGGAAGTTTTAACACATAGGAGTTTAAAAATAAGTGTTAAGCAACACTTTCTTTACAAGTCCACCTTGCTGTCTAACCCAGAATCAACTGGGTGATGAGGGATAATCAATATTGATCCAAAATCTGTGGTTAGTCAACATATGGGTAGGAAATATATGGCTTTCCAGACACAGTTGAGCTGTAGCTCCAATCAGTGCAAGTCAGCATAGATATACGGTGAGGGATCATAGGAGTTGCAGTCCAGCAGCATATGGATAGTCACACATTTTCCATCCTTGAGTTAGAGTATGTCCAGACTGGCCTTTTTAGTGCAGGCTGTGTAATTCTCACATCCAAATGGCATAAAGAGAGAAAAGTAAGCTACATGTGGTGATGGCACAGGGAGAAAAAGCAGATGATCAAAAGCAGACAGACAGTTGTCAGCCCTTTGTGTTCCCATTTGGCTACAGTGAATTTGAAAAGTGGAAGTGGGAGATGGAGAGAAAGTGGGACACACAGAAAAGGGGTGTGTGCAGTCTCCCACTGCCCCCCATCTCACCAGTGGAGGTGAATGAAAGGTATCTCCCGTTTGCACATTGACTGGTCCATATACATCCCCTACACATCTGTGTGTCTGTAAAAATAAGACTCTTAAAACTGATGTGGATCCATGCACGCCTCTCCTTTCACATTGCCTTCCAGCCATGCTCACTTTTTCTGCCTCTCTTTTGCTTGTAACAAAAAGAGGAGGGGAAAAAGGGGGGCACTAAGTGTCTTTCTTTGCTTTCTTAAGAATTCAACTTGCCGATATCCTGAAGTGTCTTTTTTATTAAGCCCTTTTATTAAGCCCTTCCTGGAAATACAAACAGGAAGGAGCCTTGGCAACTTTGCCAGCTCCAAGGCTTGATTTTAGTCTGCTCCTAGTGACTTCATGCATTGGGAAGAGATTAAACTAGAGTGCACCAAATCACACTAAAAAAAAAGGAGAAACTCTGTCAGTTGTTCAAAAAGGTGCAGGTGGGAGTGCTCTGGGGGCAAATTGGATCAAATTGATCTGCTCGTCATGTGGATGTCAGAAAAAGGAGTGGACCAAGCTGTCCAAGCAACACACCAAACAGAGGGACAAATGCCTGTCTGGGACATGTTTTTAGTCAACAGTGGCTTCTAGTCCTAGATACCAGGATCATGTGCTGTTTTTTAAAGACACTTGTCCAGGCTGCAAGTTGCCAGAAGAGTGTGAAATGATGAGCAGATGAAGCCAACAAAGGATGCCGGGGGGGGTTAATGCTTCCACATTGATATAATTGTGCAGAAATGATACATTTCAAAGGGGAAGGCCTAGAGATCTATCTATGCAATTAGAACTTTATTTGCTTTGAATTAGTAATAACATCTACTTTAATGATAACAGGAGACATTTCCCTTCATGCATGACAAAACAGTACATCACGATTAGTACAGCTGTCCATGTGTAAATTTGTAGGTTAAAATTCTCCATATTAGAAATAATATTTATTAGAGGGTGCTGACTGGTTTATTATAAAGTAGTGATATGTCATAATATTTATTTTCATCAGAGACTTGTTCTTTGTGTAGAAGCCTTGTATAGAAAAATGAATTCGTATTTTTTATAGAATATTTATAACAAGCAAACAAATAGCAACTTGCTTTATGGCAATGAAATGCAAACAAATCATTAAAAAACCATGAGGCAATAATACAAGGTAAAGCATTGTCTAATGCAAATTCTGAATTGTTAGAGCTGTTAAATGAAATGACTTAAATGTCAAAAGATCACATTCCAATGTCTGGCACATTGGGTAATGTGTACAATTAGGTAATATCTTAAGGATGATGGTGATGCCATGGATTACTGCAAATACAGCAGGTAGTAGAGTAGGAAAAAATAAGCCTAAATGATTAGATTAGTACAAGTAGAGATAAATTACTGAGAGATCATCATCATAATCAATATCAAGAAAAAGGTGAATTCTTTTAATTCTTCAGAATTGCTCATCAGGCTAGACATTATGAAAGTTGGTATAACATACAGGGGAGAAGCCGAATTTTTTTGAGGGGGTGGGGAGGAAGGAAATCATTCTTATACTCATGAAAGCTGAAGTTATTTAAGACCTGAATTGAATTATGTGAGTTTGAACAGTCAGCTTGACTGAGAGAATATGCAATATATTTTATGTGCTTTGAATGTTTATTTCCTACTCTCTTCAAACAATAGCAGCATTTTCACAGCTACCACCGCGTTTGGGTAGAGATGAATTCACTCTCTTTTGCTGGAAATACTGTTCATTTCAACTAATCTTACTGTGTCCACTGAAAGTTATAAACAGCATTGTTACACTTATGGAAGCAGTGATTATGTTTGTCTTTTGTAATGGAATGAAATGAAATTAGATCTGGGAGTTGAAAAAGGCTAAGGATTGAAAACAGGAATATAGAAGGCTTATGTAGCAGATGTCTTGTGGCCATGATAAAACAATGAAAACTAATTGGTGGAAAGCAACCAGACAAGGGATGCCTTGTTGTCTACTAACTCCCCCAAAACAAAAGAAGCAAAACCAAAAACTACACAGTTTTCTGCTCAGAAAGAAAGCTCCAAGCTAGCACTGGTGCAAATTCTTTTTAGAACAGAAAGCTCAGATAGAGGTAGGTCACAAAGTCTTCTAACTTATGTCTTCTCCCAAGTGAGCCACATTCTGGTGTCTACCTGTGTTTGTGTCTCTGATCAACCTCCCCAAAAAGAGAATTATGGGATTTGTTGTCCAAAAAAATCTGAATGGCACATCCCTAGTAACTGCATAAACAGACCAGGCATTACTGTGACCTAAATACTGCATATTTTAAAGATGTAATATTAATCTTTCTCTTTGGGCCCAACAAGCTAGGGATCACACAGCTGAGCATACTAATTTCTGTGCTCTGTACAGACATGGAAGAATTATTGCGTTGACCGCTTTTTAGTTACTACTGCTCTTTTATAATGAGGAGCAGAGGACTGCAAGAATGGCAGCTGCCCTGTGAATGACCAAGTAAGATTTTACTCTCTTCTTAAGGAATTTATCTCAGTGTTTGAAAAACAGCATATACGTAATGCTCACAGAAGCATATATGTGAGGAAAGCAGAAGATGGATAGCAAGGAACATAGCCAAACACCAAACTTCAAAACGTATATGCAACCTTGGAAAATCAACACTGTCACCGATTACAAAGTAAGAACATTTGAGCTGGGATGGTTGTTCAACTATACTGATATATGAAGATTTGTAATTCTTGCAAAGAGATAATTCAGTTTAAAAATGCAAAAGAAACTGCAGCTTGAACTCAAGTCACAGTATTTTATTATGATAGGTCCATGTCTTTATGCACACAAATACAATGTTGGGGTCTTGTAGTAATTAAAACAAGTGTTTTGCTTCATCTCAGCAGAATTTATTTGTGCAGAGTAGGAATTGATGAGAAGCTAACAGATATGTCAGATAGGAGAAATATCTACTATCTTTTGCAAATGAAATGTTTTAATGTACTGTTACAAATGTGCTGGAATCCATAAGTAAAACTTTTTGCTTATTTGGTTTAAAAATAAGGTGTTCAAATCATGATAAAACAATCTCATCAGTGTGGATAAATCAACTTTTAGTGTTTTAAGAAATGTTGTATTCTTTTAAAAATGTAAGCTAAATGATGTTAACAAGTATCATTTTTAAAAAAATATTCCATTTTGTTAGGCAAAAGGCTATCAAAACATAACTAGAATGTACTTGTCACATTGTGATTGAAAAAGAAACTTTAAAATGGATAAAAAGAAGAAAAGTAAAACTGTATTTCAGCTTCTCTTGTTTGGTGAGTTGCACAAATTTCACATTTGCAGAGACACTGCATTGTAGAAGATTTCTTTGTATCAACATAGGAATTGCCATAAAAAAAACTTCAGGATTTATTATGCCATTTAGATGAACAATTTATTGTCTACACAACTGAGCAATTGCGCTCTTTTAAAAGGAAGGCATATAGTAACTAAAACAGATGTCGCACGAAAAGCACAATATAGACAAATTAGTCAAAACAAAACTTATCTGTTGACTTAGAATAGCACAGAACCTGAAATATCAGACAGCAGATTGCACAATGAACTAGAACAGTAAAAAACTGTACAGTACAAGCAACACATTACAATAAATTATGATCAACAAGGCAGTCTTTGATTTGGGAATGGAAAGGGCACAAAGGAGAATACTAAAATCGCATAAATCCACCATATCTCTTTTCCACCTCTGGAACCTCTTTGGAATAACTTTCTCCATCTTCATCTGAGGGAGATAGAGAGTCGGCAAAGCGCTTAAAAAATCCACCATATCGTTTCTGGTAGTCCAGCCACCATTCTGGTCTTCCCACTCTTCTCATGAAGCCACCATATCTCTTTTGGAGCTCTTTCACATCATCTTCCATCTCTGGGCTGCGCTTTATACTTTTCATGAAGCCACCATATCTCTTCATGACCTCACTATCATTATCGTTCAGGTCTCGATAATGTCCAGTTTCAGCATTTTCTCCTGTCGCAAGAAGCTCCTTCAGCAGGTCAGAGGAATTAGCCAAGGCATCATCATCTGAGTCCTTCTTCATAAACCCTCCATATCGTTTGGCAAGGGTTTCTCCTCCATTAGATTCTTCCTCTGGTTCTATACGATAGAGCTCATCCATCTTCTTCATGAAGCCCCCATACCTTTTCATAAACCCACCATATTTTTTGGCCAGCAAATGGCTCTCGTCCTGCTTTGGGGTATCCCCTAGGGCACCATTGCCGTCCTGGGAAAGATCCGCTTTAGTCAGCTGAAGGAGATCTTTGCAGGTTTCCCAAGCTTTGGCAGAAGGCAGCTTCCCTTCACATTCCAGTGTACATGCCTGCAAAAATGGTTTGATTACAAATGCAGGTTAAAAATATGAATACAAACATGTTTTTGCTTTACTAAAAGTATATCAAAATATAGAAAGCCAAGCTTCAGAAAATAAATTGAACTCAGTATAGGGTGAGGATGGTCATAATAGCCCATTTTTGTTTGTCTTTGAGCTACTGTCACCATCTGGAATGCAGAACTCTAATCTGTTTTGGGTGAAATAGGTGAGATATCACAGTTTCCAAATGCCCACATTGGTTTCTTTAAAAATAAATGCATTGCAAGACACAGAGTTATCAGACATGCCAATAGGCAATGCTGCTACTGAAATCCAGATTTGTTTATGCTTTGACTTTAAATCTATAGGGCAGGTAATTGATAAGTAATGTACTTCTCATTGATTTCACTGTAACTTTTGCAAGTTTAACTGCCCAAGCACATAGCCCTGAGTGAACTCTGTCACTGGAGAACCAATATGTGATCAGCTCATAATTGTGAGTCACGTATGTTGTGGGGTTTAACCTTGAGCCTGGATCCAAGCCAGTCTATATAGGGTTAGAACTTACTGTATATGATTTGTGTTATTAGCATATGCTTATTTTTCATTTAGAATTATTTAATTAAAGCTGTTCTGAAAACAAATATCACTATCTGTATAGCCTGATTTCCCCCTGCTTCCTATGCAGCTAATAAAGACTCTCAGTATACATCCATGTTCATTCCAGATTAATTCAGTGAGAGAGATGAACTGAAATGCTGCACATTTCAGTGCAATCATCATTTGGCACAATTTTTACAATGAGCATTCCATTGCATGCATGTTCCTCATATCGTATAGCAAGCAAATGACTCACAGTGTCAATTCTGACTGGATCACCCATTTGGAACTGTGGTACTAGAATGCAATCTAGGGCAAGTGAGGGCTGTCTGTATATATTGCCAAAAATATGTTTGGTTTTGTCCAAACTAGCTGCTTAACCATCTGCTAGTTAGTAGGACAGTGTCTGAAGATTGTGAATATGTCTATTTAAATTTAAATTTTAAATGGCTTCAAAGAAATGCCTAGAGGGAGCTCAGCATCTTGCAGGATAAGCATATTATATTGCACATGACTTAAATTTAGTATGCAGTTAGTTTCAGTAATTTTTGAAAGAGCATGCTGTTCTCTCTGAAAGTGGAATGGCAATGTTTCATTTCATTTAGTTCATTTGTACTTTCTACACAGTTTTGTTTCTAAAAACAGCATCAGAATATGTCTCATTAAAGGCTACATTAAGATCTTAAGTAGATGCTCATAGTCTAAGGATGCTTGTGGGAAGTCCAATCATTGCCATTTCCAACCTACACCCCTCACATACAGTAATTTTTTATCCTGCCTTTTTTCTAAGCAGAGAAAAATATGTCATGGAAGAGAGTGCATAGGGGAAAAAAAAAGAACCATTGAGGTAGGTTGACTTCAGTTTTCCAGATTGACTTTGTTTTTTTTATTAAGATTCCAGGATTAACCATCCAAAGACAAGTAAAAAAGACGTACATGTTGAATTAAAGAATGGGATTGTTTGCATTTTTTCAAATGCTAGGAACTTATTTTCAGCACAGGAGTTTACTCAAGCTTATTGTCCTTTTGCACAAAAGTCTACTCTTGGATATCTAGATAATACTCAATTAGCAGCCTCATTTAGATGCAACAGTGACAACTTTTTTTTAACATTAAACTGGTGAAGGTGAGATCAAATAGCTGCAAATGGATGTGCCTGATCCCACAAGAAAGGGTAATTTTAATGGGAGCAATCTCCGTTAAAGCAACCCATGGAACCTACAGATAGATGAAAAAGGTCCAGTTGGGGATGGATTAGGGTTGGGCTGGAGCACATTTTCCAGTATGTCATGTGATCACTGGGGGAAAGTTTGCACTGAACTGCTACACAAGTGGTCCAAATTGCAATCTATTCCTTCACATGACCACACTTCCAGAATCAGAAATTCTTCCTGAACTACTGCCAATCACTATGAGATCAACAAAACATCTCCCTTTGATCTAAATGGTGAGATCTATACTACTGATGAGCATGTTTAGCACATCAAAAAGTCATTCACAGGTTCTAGGAGGCAATGTGTCTGGATGCATAACATAAGCAGACACGAAGGTTTATCTCAGTAGTAAATTCCAGACACTTTTCTTGGATGTTTCAAGCTTGGAGACATTCCACTTTTCACTAATTTTTTTTTCTGGTACTTACCAAGAGAAACGATTCATTTTAAAGAAGTTATACAAATCTTCATGAGCTGAAACCAAGATGCACTAATTCTTGCAGATTGCAATATGTGACTTCCCTCTAGAACATGCTTTACAGTCACTATAGTTATAATACTGTATAATACAGTATAGAAAGACAAGGAGTTTCAAAGGCTAGAACTGAGACCCCAAGCAGGGGTCATTGCTGCTAGCAGTGACCTGTTGTCCTAGCAGGACATCTCAGCCTGCCACTGTGAGCTGAGGCACGTCCTGATCAAGGAGCACAGGCTGCCTCACCCTTACAAGTGAATATGTTTCTGTAGAAAATACAGGGCTACTGGGTATTTGAGTTTATAGGAAGGTTTACAGGTGTTAGTCTCTTTCAGTTATGAAGAACATATCCAAAAGGTAGAGTGGAACCCATGAAAGCTTATGAAAGCTCACAATGAAATAAATTTGTTAGGGTCCCTCCCAGTGACTATCTGAGCAACTCTGGCCACCAAGATCACATGAAGGGCTTTCTGTTCAGATTATGATTTATGTCTTCCTGCTGCTAGCTTTGACTTCTTTTCTGTTTTTTGCCTCCTCGCATTCGACAACCGATCCCTGGTTTGGCCTACAAGCATTGATGCCTTGTTTAGCCTCCTGTCCTTCTGGCACTTGGTTTGACATCCTTGTTCCTACCCTCTCAAGCCTGGTTGTTTGCTTCTGTTTGACTGCTGCTTATGATTCCACTCTAAAAAGCAGCAACTGAGACATAGAACAGAACTTTAGCATCATTTTTTTTTGGGGGGGAGGGGGTCTCTGCTACAGAGATATGCTATCTAATGCAGTATTAATGGTTGCACTGAATTAAAAATAAGGGTTACGGCAGTGACTACACAGTGAGAAACATGCAAATAAGTCAAAATCAACTCACTGGTACATCTCAACAGGGCTTGATACAGTTCAAAAGTCACAGTGGAGTTCTAGTGACATTCTATGAATAGTAAACTCTTGCTATGTCACTTGTTTATTTTCTTCTGTTAGACATTTATTGACGATGTGGCTTTCAATTTGTAAGGAACTCAAAAGAAATAACCACACCAATAAAATGGAAACACATTCTATTATTTTTAGTACTGAATTAAGGATTAATATTTATTTTTGAAACCTAACTATTTTGGACTTGACATGGATTAAAGATTACAAAAATGTAACATCTCAATGGATTATATAAGGTAATTGTATTGATTTAAACCCATTTTTCTCTATAAATTTGAGGAACACTAAAAAAAAATCTCAAATTTCCAGTGTTCCTCAAATTAATAGAGAACAATGGGTTTAAATCAATGTAACTTATGTCATTCATTTTTAGGCCAATTCAGGTTTTAGGTAGACATTTGCCATTTGTTAATGGTTTAAAATCAGAAGAAATTTAGAACACAGTTTAACTCTACTGGTTTATATATATTGCACTCTCAAATATGAAATAAACTATCAGATGTCCTAAAAAAAATCTGAGATCAGATTTTTTTAAAATGGATATTTTCCATTTTAGAAATGTGGTGTCATAATAATAGGAAGGAAAACTTAATTTTTTTGCCTTTGTTGCTTCCTTACAATCTGCTTTGCAAATTTCTTTCAGTGATTTATTTCCCCATATTCATTCTGGCTAGATGTTACCTTCTTAGAATACATATACCGTTATGTGCAAAATAATTCTAATTCTAACTCTAACAGCATAGTGAAATAAAAAGAACTCTCAAGTGTAGAAGAGCCAAACTACTACACATTTCTTTTGCTATACATGGAAGTGCAAAAGCATGATACTTCGAAGGTGTTTTCCTTACAAATCTGTTGCCTTGTGATTCTTCTTTTGCAAAATGTACTCCGCTCTAGTAACTTGACTGAAAACCTAGGAGAAATAGTTCCTAGTGGAAGATATTGTGGGTATGAAAAGCAAGGATTGTTTCAGATGATGCTTTTATTTTTCACCCATATATTTTGTGAATAGTATATGGGTGAGCTTTGGGGATCTAAACAACACTTTGAAATTGCAACCTCTGTTTTCCTACAGCTGCTTCCAAAATGCAGTAAAGGGGGAAAAAGTGATAGGATCCCACCATCTGAAAGCACTCCAGAAAATCATTGCTCCCCTGCCCTGAGATTATAGAAGTCATCAAGTCTGAGCAAAGAACCAGCTTTTTCTCTGTGAGCACAATGAAAGCATTGGTTGGAAGGCAAAGAGCTTGTTTAAGGGAGTATGAGGATTCTTACTCACCCAATGTAATTTTTAATTTTTATCCTTCCCCTCTCCCACAACTTAATACCATGCTTCTGGTGTCATACTGTGTGTGCGTGTGTCCCACATTCAAATTAAACTAAGTGGATGATGCTGGACTACCTCTCAGCTTAATATAACTCCCCCAAATGTTAGAATAACATTACATTGTCTTAAAGTCTTCCGAGGAACTGTAAGACAGAATGTAATAAATGGATATAATGAAAAAACAAGTAGCACATTTCAAAAATGATATACTCTGTGACACAGACAACTGCTCTTTGAGCAAATGAAGCTGATTTCCCTCATCTGAGCAGCAATGTAAGAAGAAACCAAAAACCACTTCTGTTCAACAAAAGGGTGAGTGGAGTCATATAGACATTGATTAATTCATAGCTATCCTCTCTGGCCTGGTTATCATATAGCAAATAAACTTCCAAATGTTTCAGGGATGCCATATTCTAGAGGGAAGGCCAATCTCACCTAAGGAAACCAAAGTCCAGCTTCATAAGATGTCTAGAATTAAAAATGAAATGCACCCCCAGGCTGTGCACTCAGAATCATCACGGCTAAGATTTTTATGGAAACTTGCCTCATCTTGCCTGATTCATTTATAATATCAAGCAATATAAAAACATGTAATTTCACTGTTGTAGTAAAATTTACAAAATTATCCTACCTAGTAATGGCCTATAAAGCCTATAAAGCTCAAGAATTATATCAATCCTGGAACCATCATTATATTATCAGAGGAGCAATGCACGGAGAAAAAGTAATGGACCATGGGATTTCCATGTTGATCTTAAACTAAAACATATATATGTATGTATATGCTATTTACACAATTTATTGTTACATATGTCCAGCTGATACACGCTACCCAATATAAATAGAATCTCATCTCTTCTGCCTTATTTTTAATGCCCATCTCTACTCTGAAGATTGCATAACTAGTCAAACAGTAGCTAGTACTATAGTTTAATAGTGAAAATCTGGAGTTCTCCATGGTGCTGAACTGTGGAGAAATACAGGAATATGTACACACTGTATGTGGGTACTCTATTTCTGTCCTACCATTTCCTGGTGCGATGGATCCAAGACAACCTGCTATATGGATATTCATTATTAATTGGTCATAATCTATTGATAGTTTGAACATCCAAGGACACAAAAGTAAATTTCAGGTAAAAAAGGGCATAGTGAAGCAAATACACAAAATGACATGGTTACATTCTGTATTGTTATTCTAGAACATGTACCTTGCGCAGATGTGATACTCAGACTTACTGATCCAGATTAGAATCAATGCATTACTTATAACTGGATGTCTATAAAGGCATTGGACTATTACTCTACAAGTCTTTGAAAGTAATTACAGTAGCCAACTGGTGTTAGCAAGCTATACAAATGTGACTTTTGTAATCATCTTATGTCACCATGTAATTTCATGCTAATTTCATGGGTGTGTTAATCAGGCAAGAGTTGGACCTTAGAAAACGAAGAGGAAATTCTGCTTACCAGGGGATTGATATCAGCATGGTATGCCAGTCGGTGAGCACACAATGCACAGTCTCTGCTACACTCTGCCTGAACAGTAAGGATGAGAGATGTGCTAAAAGCCAGGAGCAAGAAATGACATCTCAGAAGCAATGTCATGGTCTGTTAAAAAAAAAAAAACTTGAGTTAAAAAAAGTTGAACACCAGGACAAATGTTTGCTTGCTGCAGAAATATTTGGTCACCATTTCATACATCAGGGAGAAAAAGAGTGTGAACTGTAAATAATGCTGGCTGATTTATTGAAAGCTGCTGGATACTAAAAATGAATGAATGATGATGAAGAAAATATTTTTAAGCAAAGGACCAAGTAGATGCCCACAGTCACTTAATTTGCATTGATATATTATTCAGTCTGGAACAAATATGCCCCTTAGTTATGTACTCGCAGTCCCTTATGCTGTTTACAATGACATCCAATGGGAGAGCAACCTTTCCCATTTCCAGCACTGTAGCGAACTTTTTGTAGAACGTAAAGACCTGAATAAAACAGGCTGATTAAAGGACAGCATATTCAGACCAGGGTCTCTTACACTAATTTGTAGTGACAGATACTGGACATAATTACTCTCAGCCCTTGAAAATTAAACACGGAGGGATCCGGAGAAAGGGAGAATGCTGTGATACAAAACCGAAAGGGAGCGGGTTGGGGAACTCTTGGCAGAACAGAGGACAAATCCAGAGTTTCATTCAAGCCCATCGCTCAGCAAAACACAGGACAAGCCGGGAATGAACCGAGAGTGAAACTTAGGCTGAGGAAAGAGTAGAGGCATTCTGTAGGCAGGAGTCGTTGTGTGTGTGTGTGTGGGGGGGAGAGGTGCAGCTTGACAAGGATCCTGCTCTCTCTCGCTTACCTTTCTTTCTCCTCGTCGGTCCACCCTTGTTGTTCTTCCAAAGGGAGCGGCGGCTCTCGCGGAAGTCTCTGGTTTAGAGCAGCTGGATAAATATTTATAGAAGAGCTCAGCGGGTCTTGTCTCTTGAGGAGATGAAGATGGAGCGAAGAAAGAACAGCTGGGGGAGAGAGAGAGAGAGAAAGAAAGAGAAATTGAGCACACAGGAGGCGGGAAAAAGTTGCAAATTGCAACTGTGGGTTGCAGCTACTCGGGTCTACCTTACACAGGAGAAGGGACCACAGTGAGCTCTTATTGCGAGCGCTCCAGCCTCCTCGCTCCCCTTCCAAGACTGCTGCGGTCCTTCTTGCGGGCACCGAAGCTTTTCAGCGAACTCAGGACCCGGGGAAGTGGAGAGAGGTATTTTATAATTAGTCACAACAAGAGAAATGCGTTACATCCCCCCAATCGCTTACAGCCCCCATCTGACGCAGTACCTGCGACATCCAGTAGAAGCGTTGGGTCTTAAACGGGGGAGGGGGGAGGCACGCACGCCTGCCTGCCTCAGGGCAGCGGAGGACTCACGATTTAGTTGTTCCCCATTGGCATGTGGGCAGCTGTGCTACTCATTTGATACCCTCCCCCCACCCTTTCAGGTCTGGGATCAATTCCGTCCTCAAGTAGCATTCCCTCTCCTCAGAATGTAAGGGCCTGGATCCTTCCACAGTGGGACAGGGGAGGGGGGGGAGGGAATATCCTCCTGGGTATGGGAATATTGGAGGCTGAGTAGCTGCTTCTTTGGCACTGGAGGCTTGGGATCTTGAATTCCTTGCCAGAAAAATGTTGGGCATCCGTGGAGGGATGCCCAACTGAGGAAAAGTTGAACACAGCAGGAAAAGAGGAATACTAAAGGCGGCAGTCACACCATTGAGTTTGCAAAAACTGTAGAGGAGAGGACATTTTGGAAGTCACTCATTCATATGATCTCTACAGAGAGAGAGAGAGAGATCCAACAGCAACAGCTGTTGTATTCAAATGTTTACAAGTAATGGATGACTTTGGGTCCTCAGTCTATGAAATTGTCAAACCTTTTCTGAATCCCCAGCTGCTGAAAATATAAGCTCCATTCTGGATTGTGTCACCTAGCAGAATCCCCTTGCTGTTTCCCAGCCATGACGGTCTGTACAGGTACCCCTTCCCCTGAGAAGAAAGGGTGATAAGGAGATAACATCCCTGCAGAGTTACAGGATTTTTTTAACTATTAGGTTAATTGATATAACTAAAGCTGGGAAAACTAATTTTGGGAGACTACAGTGCTCCAAACCCCAGCCAGGGTGTTGTTTGGCAAGGGGCAATTCTGGCAATTGTGGTTCAAATGATAACGTTTTGAAGTCCCAGATTCTTTCATGCTAATACAACCTACATAGGGACTAGACCACTACATAGATCTGGAGCCTGTCCTAAAGAGACTGACTGTTGTGTGTGTACTGGGGAGAGACATGCATTAAATACATGCTGATAGGTAGTAAATATGACAGTATTCCTCCCCTGCTTCTGACCTAGCACTGTAACATGAAATTGGGCCTGGAGGAAACTGTTACCTTCCCAGACTCCCAGTTGCTTGTTGCCTGGATTATGGAGTTCACAGCTCTCTCATTTTCTTCCCTGAACCTCCACATAGCTTTGTATCCCCACAAAGTACTGACATAATCTGCTTGTATGAGAACGTATTTTATGACAGAGCTGTGTGTGTGGTTAACTTTATATTCTTTAGTAATGGAGGATATGTAAGCACTTTCTTTGTGTAAGTACCTGGAAAGTGGCATGATTTATACAGCTGCCAGGTGCAAGTAAGGGTGGGAAAGATGCCCATTTCCCTGTGGGGAGCCAGTTGCCAATAATGAGATCCTAATTTGGGAATGCACGAAAGGTGCCAGTTGCAGAGAGAGAGAGAGAGAAAATGTTTGGCTCAGAGATCTGTGGAACAGGAGTGCATCATGAAGACAGTGAAAAATACGATGAGTTAATTCATAGTTAGCGCACTAAAGAGAAGCTTCTTTCACTGATTCCTGATAATCAGATACACTCCCCTTATCCAGATTGCTTAGAGCTCGGAAAAGCGAACAGAAGGGAGGGAAATGCCTTGAGACAGAAGCCTGCAAGAAACCATTTACTTTAATAAACAGTTTTTAGCACAGATATTTTTATGCAGTTGAAAAAATAAGCGCTCATGTATCAGATTCCCTCAAATGCAATTATGGTAAAAGAGCGGTGGTGTGGGTGTGGGTGGGGGAAGAGGTCTATCTAATCAACAGATAAATAAGGAAAAGCTCACATAGAAAGATTTAAAAAGTGCGAGATGTGAGCTGATTCCTGAATAGCCTGAATACCATTTCAAATATTGTGCAGAAGACAAAAATAAAAACAAACAAAAGATTTACAGTACCACCACATTCAGATACCTCCAACTTTCATTTGCACATTACTGTACTTATTTCACAGCATGTCTAAAAATATAGGAGTTTGTGATGGTCTTGAGAGTGAGTATTTCTGAAAAACAGACAAACCCAGTGGTCAGACAGAAGCAGAACAATCCTATAAAAAGGGTCTCTTTAATGCTTCTAACCTACCACATGTGTTATAGAAGGGGAACTCCTCACTCCTGTTTTAGATTCCACATGCTTATTGTTCCTCAAGGATTTCTGAAATTCCAGGTAACTCAGTGATGTTACACACTACAGCATGTGCCTCTTGTTAAAAACAACTAAATGGTAGGAGTATCCACACACCCCCAAGCAGAGATCTATGTGAGATCTCTCTTCTTGAAAACATGACCCTGGTACTCATAAGGTGTTTAGCAAGACAGAGGAATGATCACAACAAATGCTCATATAAGATACTGATTTCACATTTTAATTCTGAATGTATTTAAGTTTCTAAAAAGTAAAGTACTGGAATAAATGGCTTAGGAACCATGGTTTGTAAGGCCAGATGAAGATAATCTCCAATTAGTGTTGTAGTCACTTCGCTGACCTTGTATGTATCTGCATTGTGATCTGCATTGTGCACAAAAAAAATAATAATCACAAGTGAGACTTTGTTCATGGCCTTTTAAGCTGCTCCCCACCATCTGTAGATGGTTCATGATGCAGGCAGGAGGCAGTCCTTCAAAATTTTGGGGTGAAGTGCCCAATTGTCCCAGTCCACAGGCTGTGCCCGTTTATCTGCCAAATGGGGACAATGTTTTTATATATTTCAGGAAGGAGGCTGCAGTGTCCATAATAGCATATGCCACCAAAAAGACAAAAACAAAATTGTTAGTCTGTAGAGATGCCACAATGTTTTTATGCAACTTTTATGCAGATCTGATGACCCAAAGGACCAAAATCATAGCTACCAATGGCTTTATTATCCTTTTTAGAATTCAAGTAAATGATGTAAAGCAGTGGTCCCCAACCTTGGGCCTCCAGATCTTCTTGGACTTCAACTCCCAGAAATCTTGGCCAGCAGAAGTGGTGGTGAAGGCTTCTGGGAGTTGTAGTCCAAGAACACCTGGAGGCCCAAGGTTGGGGACCACTGATGTAGTTTTGAAGTGGCTGGTGAGCCCACTCTAAACCTGAGGATATAAGAAGTGAATGTCAAAGATACAGACAGCTGTGAAGAAAACATACAGGGAAAAAGATGGGTTCACTGGGCCATTGTGTCCTGGCCATAGTTTTGCAGAAAAAGAAAGAAGTAGCGCCAAGATAAAAGGGAGAGAAAGAGATAGAGGGAGGAGGAAAGGGAGAGAGAGAGAGATAGAGAGAGAGAAGAGGTGAGGGGCTCAAAACACTACTGAGAATAAAGAAACTTTAATAAGAAACATGAAATATCAAATGCATTTTTGTATATACCTTTCTAGAGGCAATGGAGGATAATTTGTAACTTTTCAGTACACATGCATTCTTGAAACACAGACACCTTATTGCAATACCATAACTTATACTTCTTTGCCTCCAGGAAGGTATATAGTGTACTTAGTGGGGATTTTATACTTCTTATTAAAATTTCCTTCACCTTGGTACCATTTTCAAACATTGCCCTCCCCACTTTTGCCTTCCAGCCTTACATTCAGAACCCAGAAGTGATGACCTGTTGCATTTTGTTGCACCTGCCACAGGCATGCTTTCTGCTTGCCCATTTTACTCTCTTGTCCCACCTGTGTTCTTCTCAGCCTGTCTTGGGCACTAGAGGGCACTCACCCTCTTGCAGAAGATGTTTAAAGAATCTTAAGGGCAAGGGAAGTGTATTCAGTCCTGATCCTGATCGGGAATGATGCATTAAGGCACAATGCTTGGGTCATTGTCTATAATATCAAGAGGCATGGGTACATAGGAGTGTGCACTGCAAGAACACAAGCCAAAATTCAGTGCAATAGCACATGCCTCATAGGCAGAAAGGCCTCAAACTAGATTGCAGATAACGAGAAATACCATGGACTGAGACACTGGAAACAGGCAGAAAGGCCTCAAGCTAGATTGCAGATAACAAGGAGAAATACCATGGACTGAGACACTGGAAAGCCACCACATTAAGAACTTGTGATAGCTCATGGGCCAATGATGTAACGGTACTCTCGTTGATGGACATTGCGAATCCATGAATTGTATATAATTGTATTGATATTTTATTTTAGGGTTTTGAAGATTATCCTGTGTTATGGATCCCTAATCTAGTGGAGGAAGATATCTTGGAATTTTGCCTGACTTAGACATACAGACACTTGAATTTTGCAAATTTTACAAGGAACTGGTGCCATTGCAAGAACTTGGGTGCACAAATTGTAACATTTTTATTGTTGTTACAACTGTTCATGTTGTCTGTTAAAGGAATGCAAAATAAGAAAAGATTTATTTTGTAAAAATTGTGTTTGCAAGATTGATCGATAGTATGCAAATAGCCCCAAGGAACTTTAAAGTGTTATACATGCACACTGGTACATACTAGGATCTGCCTTTATATAGGTGTACGAAGCCGCCCTATATATACCTGGCTAATAATTTGTCCATTCAAGTATATTATACCCAACATTTCTAATTTCTCTAGCTTTTCCTCCCAATAGTTTCTGGACTATCTTCATTGGTCTTTGAACATCATCAATTATCCAATAAGGAAGTGATCAGAAGTAGGTTCTGTGAACACACTGACAAAATAATGATCTCTTGCTAGGCTAATTTTAGCATAGATTGCCATCATGTAAGAGCTCATGAGAGTATTCTTCTGCCACCCATTTATTATACTGGGATACATACAGAACTCACCAGAGTATCAAACCCAGTGTCACTGACAATGAAGTCTTGTGATTAAAAATCATTTTTGCATGCTACTAATAAAATTACATTATAAAATGATAAAAAGTGGTGACAAATAATGCAGAAGAAATCCAGTTCATAAACTCCATCTTGCATAAGGAAATACCTTGCTCTTATTAGCCAAAGTCTATATCCA